TTTTTGGTTTTCCTAACATGTACCACTGTATTTTAAATTTACACATCACCAGGGCATTCTTTTTTCTTGTTCTCTTATTATTAGAACATACATTTAATGCCTTCTGACAATCTAACCATTGTAAACCTCCCAGGTTTATTAATTGTCATCATCCAAGTACCCACAGTGCAGATTTCTGGTATTACAATGGTTTTAAATTTTGTCCTTTGGATTTTTTGAAAATAAATTACAGTGTCTATTTACATGGATAAAGAGTGACCACTGTCTTTGGCTGGTTTTTGTTGATAATGAGGTGAGGCCAAGATCAGGGCCTTCACTGAATTCCCACATGTGCTTGGTTGCAAGCCACACTCAGGTGACAGACAGTCTTGCAGTTGCTGCTATTGGCCACATGAAGACTGGGAAAGAGAGTGCATCAGATCAATATAAACTTATTTCTCTTGCAAAGCATAGCAACTTGAGGCACATGCATTGTGAATATTGGGTCAGAAGCATTATCTTCATATTCAAAGACTAGCATATAATTATCAAGAACAGAAATGTAAAGAACATAAATAGCTTGATGATAGAATTGGTACACATTTTATTAGAAATTCTATTTGAAATCCAGAGAAGAGTAACTGAATGGATTAAAAACATATCAAATATTAGATGACAGAGAATATGAGAAAATTTCAACTTTTTTTCCAATTGAATTTAACAATGTTTTGCTCCTTAGTTGACTGATTGAATAATTTGCCTCTGCCAGGATGTAAATTCTCAGAGATACTCTTTCTGCCATTGTGCCAATCTATGACACAGCTAGCGTAGTATTTATATGCTGTGCTGGTCAATATCCTTCAGAAATGCCCAGCAGAACACAGGCACAAATATTCTCCTTCAACAAATACTCATCGAATATGAAATCAGATTTCAGGTACCGGTACTTCCACTGGTACAGAGTCATCTGGAGAGCTTGTTATGAGGCCTCATTCAGGATGAGGCAAAGATTTTGAAGTTTGCATTTAAGTTTTTAGAAAGTCATGTATAAAGAGAGGCCGCCATGATGATTAAACACATTATATTGTGCCCTTATAAAATGTGATCAAAACCCACAAACTTTAATGACAATAAGTAATTGTTTTTATTTGGTCTGCTCATTCTGAAAAAACTGAGTCTTGTCCTATGCAACAGGGCTGGAGCAGTTGGAACATGCGTCAGTTGGAACATGTTTAAAATCTAATGGATAACATTGTTTTACATTTCATATAAGACAAATAGAGTAAATTAAGGACACATTTCTAGTATGTTCAGATATTCCAACAAGTAAATATCTCATATATCTCAGTTTGCTCCATTATTTGTCAAACACATTTATTTTCATTTTGATAAAAATGTCTCAAAAATGCCTTAGTAATTTGCGCTTTGGTGAGGGAAATTTAGAAATAATGAATGTGAACTAATCTCTTTGTGACTTAAGGGTTCTCACTCAAAATTATCAGCCTTGGAGCTTTGCTTTTATAACGTGATGCTCATTGGGTTTTTGAGGTATAATGCTTGTCTCTAAACTGAATTGCCCCCAAACTACTTTATAGTAGTTGATTTTACCACCTGTGTTCTCTCCTTCACTCTTATTTTGTATTTCAGTATACCAAATTTACAATGTTTTTGTTGGTTTTGTTACCAACAGAAACATCAGGTGAATTAAAAGACACCAAGATAAGTACTCATCAAACTAAAAAGTAAATGCAATTCCACGTTATTTTTGCCCAAGGGTGGGTGGGTAAATTTAGCATAATGCAGTCTTCTCAGTCTTGAGCATGCTTCAGAGTCATCTGGAGGGCTTGTTAAAATGCAGGTTGTCGGGTCCCACCCCAGAGCTGTTTCAGCAGATCTGGGGTGAGGCCCGAGAATGTGCATTTCTAGCACTTTTCCAGTGGATGCTGCCCATCTGAGGACTACACATTGAGAGCTACTTGCTACAGAGAAAAGTGGAACGGGGATAGTTTAAAGAATCAGTAAGAGTTTAAGGTTTCAGGAAATGCTTGGAAGTCTGCAAGTAGAAAAAGGAGAATGTTAATTTTCTCTTCACATGTTGGGCATTACATTTATAGAACACGAAGAGGGAGCGCTGTGGGACAAAGTCAAGGGAGTTATATAAAATGATAGATTACAGTTACGTGTTAGTTCACAAAATGATTTCTGGAAGATACATTAAATAATCCCAACATTATAAACTGATACCACATCGGGCAACCTCACTCTCCAAAATCCTCTCATGTTGCCTTTGCACTAGGCTGGCCTGGATGGACCATTGGTTGGACCCCATGTGGCATTCCTAATATCTCTGTATTCTAATCCATTGGTTGCCACTAAAATGCTTTGCCAACAGATTTTGTTCTCAGATAGTGCACAGCACTGAAGAGAAAATCACTTTGCAAATCCAGTGATTTCATGGGCCACTAGGCTCTCTGGATTCTCTATTACCCAGTTTATCTTTTGTTCATTTAATGCATCGCAAACAACACTGAATTAGTTTGTTGGACAATTAGGTAAGATATTAAACTAAAGATGTACATATAAATATGTTAAGTTATTATTTTAAGAATACATCTGTAAGACATAGTTGGAGAAGGCTTTTTCTTGTGAACACTGTGAAGGCTTTTCCCCGCAACTCTCTAATAGTTCAACAGGTATCAACTTGCATAAATAATACTTCTTTCTCAGAGGGGTTCACAAGTGAGAAAAAGAATTTTCTATAATGGATGTTTAAAAAAAATCACTTTCAAGGCAATTAGTTCTTGTAAATCTCCTGAAATAAACATCAGGAAATTAAATTGGTGTTTGTTTGTTAGTAGAATGAACATCCGCAAGCAAATCCAAGATTGCAAATTTAGCTCAGGCCTAATTTCAAGTCTCTGAAAGACCCTTCCTTCCTGAGCTATGACCACCTAAAGTCCTGCTGCAGCTTCACCATTGCCTTAACTTTCAGCACGAATCCTGAAATGATGCTAAGGAGATGTACATGACTACATGTCTACAAGCTGTGGTTTCATCATTTTTTTCTTTGTCTCTGAGCTAATGCCGAGAAAACACCCTGGTTCTGCTAAGTGGATCTCAGTCTGTTACTTAGTCTCCTGCTCTCCAGTCACCCAAGTCTGATTCCTGAGCACCCAAGTCTGATTCCTCACCTTGATTCTTTTTTGTTACGTGTCATTGCCCTCAGGAAGGGGTACCCCAGTCCTGGATCCTGGACCACTGTCTTGGACCCTCGTCTGAAATGCCAAATATTTCTAATTTCAATTTGCTATCCTTCTTTTAAGGATGAATTGTCTCATACTGCATCCATCTGTTTGGACAGGCTAACACTTAATTTGTAACCCTTCATGGGTATCTACTTAACTGAACTACAACCTGCTATCGCTTCATCTTGTCGGACAGGCTAGTGTAGTCTCGCTTTACATCTGTGATGGAATCTATCCACCCAGATCCTATTCAGTAATAGAGCCTTTTCTCAAATCCCAGCCCTTCCTCATCTGAGCTACATGACAATAAGTAATTAATTGGTCTTACTTGGTCTCTTCATTCTGAAAAAACTGAGCCCTTACTGAATGGAGTTTCATAAGGACTGAGTTCTTATGGAGCCATATTATACATGGGAGTGATGGACATGAACGAGGTACAATTTCTCTCTTGAAGAAATTTTTTCTTTCTTTCTTTCTTTCTTTCTTTCTTTCTTTCTTTCTTTCTTTCTTTCTTTCTTTCTTTCTTTCTTTCTTTCTTTCTTCCTTCCTTCCTTCCTTCCTTCCTTTCTTCCTTTCTTTCTCTTTCCTTCCTTCCTTCCTTCCTTCCTTCCTTCCTTCCTTCCTTCCTTCCTTCCTTCCTTCTCTCTCTCTTCCTCTTTCTTTCTTTCTCTCTCTTCCTTCCTCTTTCTTTCTTTCTTTCTTTCTTTCTTTCTTTCTTTCTTTCTTTCTTTCTTTCTTTCTTTCTTTCTTTCCTTCCTTCCTTCTGTCTTTTTTTTTTGACAGAGTCTCACTCTCCCACCCAGGCTGGAGTGCAGTGCATAATCTTGGCTCACTGCAACCTCCGCCTCCTGAGCTCAAGCGATTCTCCTACTTCAGCCTCCTGAGGAGCTGGGATTACAAAATCAGTCTGCCATCATGCCAGACTAATTTTTTTTTTTAATATTTAGTAGAGACAGAGTTTTGCCATATTGTCCGGGTGGGTCTCTAACTCCTGACCTCAAGTGATCTGCCCGCCTCAGCCTCCCAAAGTGCTGGGATTACAGGTATGAGCCACTGTACCTGGCTCATTTTTGATGACTGGGCAAACAAGCAAACAATTGAAATACAGGTTGAGTATTCCTTATCCAAAACTCTTGGGATAAGATGTGTTTTGGAATTTTTAAAAAATTTTCAATATTTTCATTAAACTTACTGGTTGACATCCCAAATTCAAAAATCTGAAATCTGAAAAGCTTTAATGAGCATTTCCTTTTGAGCATTGTGTCAGCATTCAAAAAATGTGAATTTCAGATTTTTGGATTAGGAATGCTCAACCTACACAATACTTTAACCATAAATTCTGAGAACCTTTCTTTAAAGGACGTAGTAGAAGAGGTCAGAGAATTGTCCTTCCATAAACATTCATTCTATCATTTGCTCAAACCCCACTGTGTTTCAGGCATTTTGTTAATACATCGGGAATGGACCCAGAAGGCCTTTCTGAGAATTGTGAGTTAGACCCAGATATTCGCCCAGGCCCAGAGCATCCAAGACCTTTCGCCTCCAAATACCAATGATAATTTGTCTTGTGGTCTTAAGACGTTAATCAGAGCTGCTTATAATAGACAGCTTCTGAAACTGGCTTCTCTCCCCTGTAGCCCCAGATGGTCTACCCTGGACCCTGATGATGTTAGGTTGGAGGATTTTAAGTGCAGTCACTTTGTTGCCACGTCCACTTTCTTTCCAGAACCTCTGAATCAAATGTCAGCCTGTTTTCATTGTTCCCTTTCTGATCAGCTGGAGCTGGATATACTGAAGGAATGAAAATTTTCTGAGTTGACTGCACTGATAAACCTAGAAGGAGACCATGGTAATAATTGCTTCATAATTTTCAAAAGTCAGCATTAACTGCTGAGTAGCAGAGTGGACTTAAATTTGTGTTTTCAGTGGAAATGATCACAGTGATGTCCTTACTGCCTCCTAACTCATGAAAGGAACAACTGGCTGGTCCCTGGAACTCCCTGCATGACTGGTGATTGCCCACGGACTTCTAAAACCGTCTTTACTCTGAAAATGTGAATGTTGCCCATGACCTTCAGCTGATGGATGATATCTGGGCCTGAGATGGCAATATCAGGTATTTCTGAAGACATCCTAGGGAAATGTGGGGATTGCCATGGTGCCTCTGAGCTTACCTCTAGAACAGACATTTTGATAAGCACTTTTGCTTCTTTCTCTGAATTCTAAATCAGCCCTAGATCGCTGGAGGATAATTCTGAAACAAGCCCTACCCAGTCAATTTTCCTGAAGTTTCATGAGGATTCTGAAGAGCGGTAACTTGTGTTGGACTAAAACCGGGGAGGAAGGCCAAGGAGAGGAGAGCACTCAGAGGCAGCGGGTGGACAGAGGTCATCCAGAGACTTACAGAAAATAGGACCAAAGCCATGGCCCCAGACAGGAGTGGCAATCCTAAGTGCAGTTTTAGTTGCACTTTTGAGATAATGGAAGTACAAAATCCGTCACTTAACCTCTTTAAACATCAGTTTATTCATCTGCAAAACATTGACATGCTACTTCACAGCATTCTTCACATATAATAAGAAACAGCATGTTAAAATACTAAACAAAGCTTAAGATGTGATGCAAATATACTATCAGAGTAGATTGTAGATTATAGTTCTATCACTTATCTCTTTCTTATTCATAAGAGAAGTTCTTACGAACATTGAGTTAATTATTTCTTTTCCCTCCTTATTTATGAGCACACATGTCTTATTCAAGGTTTAAAATATCACTTTGAAATTAACAAGGGGTTTCACAAATATAGTCATATTCCCTATTTGTTCACACTATTTTGTCCCAAAATGATGCTTTAAAAAAAATAAAAGAACTGCTTATAAAATCATGGTACAGTCAAGACAGACTATAAACAAATGCTCACCAACCAACAGAAGAAATCTATCCTGCAATATAGATGACTTTCCCAGTGTACCATGATAGTTCCTTTAAGCTGTTATGAATTATTCCATAAACCTGTATTTAGAGACTTTTAAATATGCAGATTATTGGCCTGAGAAACCATTTCATCTCCAAAGGAACATTTGCAGGCTGTCGTGCAAATCTGCATTTGAGCAACTTTCACATTATGATCTTAGTGAATTCTTGACCAGATGGACTTGAACAGCTGCCACCCATGCTTGGGAAGTCCCTTTGCTTGAGAAGACAAAATAGCTCATTTGTTTGCAATTCTTTCCTGAAAGTACACAAGGGCAATTTTCTACATTGTGAATTACTTCTATCAGAGCAACATTTTCCGTGAAAGATCATAGCTCATTATGCTATTTAGAAACAAACAAACAAAAATGCATACAAACATTTTTTGGGGGGAGTTTTATAATTTGTGCCCAGAAGGGACAAATTTCTTTTCAGATTAAGTTTTAAAAAATGTTCCTTTATTGCTGTTATGTTCAAGCTGACATGGAGGTTATAACTGAGAGAACCCCCCTCTGAAATAATAATGCCTTACGTTTGTATAATATTTTATACTTTTCAAAGTGCTTTCAGGCACATTATTTCATTTGATCTTCAAAACAGCTCGGTGAGGCAGGTAAAGTAGGTGTTTTTATTCATTTCTTTTTAGATAAGGAAATAGGTTCAGACTACAAATATTATCCGAGTATCTACTAACTCCATCATATTGTGCAAGGTGTCACAGAGGATAAAATAACATGTATTCCTAAAAGAAGAATCTTGGTTTTAGATAAGACATAACAACACAAAGTTAAATAATACTAAATGTACAATATGGTTCAAAAGGTGACAAAAGACAATTTATGGTCATAGTATTAGAAGCATGAGCAAACTGTATTCTGGCAGGTTAAGGGAAACTTCTTAAAGCAGGTGCCACCCAAATATATATACCTGGAAGGAGGTTTGGAATTTGGATTTGGCATCATAATCACCTTCTCATATAACCTTAAAATAGAAGAGATTTTGGCATTCATCTAGTTTGTTCTGATACTAGATGTTGGCACTCCCTATAGCACCTTAAGCAAAAATGTTGGAATTGCTATGAGTCTTACAAATTCTATCTTATGAAACCCCATCTCTACTAAAAATAAATTTTAAAAACATTAGCCAGGCATGGTGACGGGTGCCTGTAGTCCCAGCTACTCGGGAGGCTGAGGCAGGAGAATGGTATGAACCTGGGAGGCGGAGCTTGCAGTGAGCCAAGATCGCACCACTGCACTCCAGCCTCGTGACAGAGCGAGACTGTCTCAGAAAAAAAAAAAAAAAATTCTATCTTATATGCAGCTGCAATCTCCAGTTCTATAATTCTACCCTCTGTTGACTAGAGTAAAACAAGACTAATCTATTTTCTCTTTCTGTGGAAAGCCTTTAATATGTCTGTAGTCAGTATAATAGCTTGATCTGCCTTTAGTCTTTTCTTCTTTCCATTTAATTTTAAAGCTTCTGGAGATAGAGTCATTATTTTACTGCTGGGCCCCTATTTTATTTCTCCAAATTATCTGTAACTTTGGCCATCCCAAATTGATACACTATTTTAGATATGCAGATTTGAATGAGGCTCTAAAAACTATCATTATCTTTCCAATTCACTGCCAGCATGTCTGTTAATACTACTAGTTGTGAACAATTCTCACATATAAAAGTAACTAACTTTTGTGTAAAAGCGGCATAATCAATGTGCCTGGAATGAGTCATGGATGTCTTCCTAAAGAACAAAGACCACCTTTGTTGTGATGGCTTTTTTTCTTTTTCTTTTGTATTTTTCTTAAGCCATTCATGATCTATGCATGTCTGCACAGATGATACTTGCTTAAGGAACTAACACCAAAGCTCTAATACAATAACAATTTTTGGTATTTTGTTTCTCATTTTTATTACTGGGAAAGTAAAAATTAATAGCTCATGTAAATTAATAATCCAATACTGACCCCTGGTGTGTAATGAAGAAATTGCTTACTGGATGAACTAGTGGATGCTTGGGAAAAGTTTTATGTTTTAATATAAGAATATCTTTTTCCAAGTAAAGAAATTTCCTAGGCTATAATTTAAAATGTGGAAATTGGGAAATGTCAAACTAACTAACTGAATGTAGAGAATGTCTCTATGGTAGTCTTTAGCAGTGGGTAAATAAAAAGAAAAGAAAGAACAGCTGACACCAGAACTGTCCCATTCAAAAATGTTTTTTACAATTCGGCCAGCGTTTAAGAAACTAAGCACAGTGAGTTGAGAATGAATGATCTACCCTCCTTCACTTCACTATATTTGAATTGGACTTAAAAAAAAAAAAAAAACAAAACAAAAACCTGTTTTGAATTTCTCTGAGTCACCTCCTCAGACGGTAGATGTGTCTTCATTGCCTGCCACTCCCCAAAGTGTCTCTCCATTTATTTCAGACACAAGATCCCAAAGTCACAATTTTCTAGTCTTACTTGCTCTTCTTTGTTATCTTGTCATTTTCTTTTTTTTTTCTTTTTTCTTTTTTCTTTTTTTTTTTTTTTTTGAGAGGGAGTCTCGCTCTGTCGCCCAGGCTGGAGTGCAGTGGCGCGATCTCGGCTCACTGCAAGCTCTGCCTCCCGGGTTCATGCCATTCTCCTGCCTCAGCCTCCCGAGTAGCTGGGACTACAGGCGCCCACAACCGCGCCCGGCTAATTTTTTGTATTTTTAGTAGAGACGGGGTTTCACCGTGGTCTCGATCTCCTGACCTTGTGATCCGCCCGACTCGGCCTCCCAAAGTGCTGGGATTACAGGCGTGAGCCACCGCGCCCGGCTGTTATCTTGTCATTTTCTAAAGCCATACCATATGCCTGCTTTACCATTCAAAGGTATAGTATTTGTTAGGCTGGTTCTTGTTTCAGGTTTCTCATTCTCCTTCCTATTTTCAGTATGTGCCCTTCCCTCACACCCTATGCTCAAGCCAAATTATCTATCCAGCATGTCCCCCATTGGTAACTTCTGAGAAGAAGTACTGCAGAGTGGACAGATGGGACTGGAATGAGTCAGTCACTTTGCAGACACAGGTGTAAGCCATGCAAGTTTAGGCCTCTACTGCCACCAGCGACCCTATTGATGGCCTATTCCCTCCTGTAGCAGAGCTCATAGAACCTTAGAAATTCACCTGTTGAGGGAGTATCACTGGGCCAGTTGTCAATGAACCCAGATTCTAATTTAATCCTGGCATTGCCCCTGACTTGTTATGGGACTTTCTGCAATGCAGTTCAACTCCTAGGTTATGAAACTTCTATTTTCTAATCTATAACAAAGGGTGATTACATTAGACGATTTCTAACATCCTTTGTAGTACTCCAATTCTACAACTCTATACATGTGGATTCAGGAGGCTAGCTCAGACCCTGGGTTCTTCACTTCTTGCAATGCTCTCTCAATTCCCTTCTTCTCCCATCCTCTGGTTTGTCCATATGTTACTGTACTTGTGTACTTCCTATGTACACTAAAACATTATATGGACTACAGTCTACTGTATCTATTTGTCTATCTTTTTTCTTTCATTGAACTGAGATATGGTAGGCTGGGATGAGCTCTCTATACTGAGATATATACAGTGGGCTGAGACGAGCTCTCTATACTGAGATAGATACAGTAGGCTGGGACCAGCTCTCTATACTGAGATAGATAACGGTAGGCTGGGACCAGCTCTCTATACTGAGATACGGTAGGCTGGGACTAGCTATCTATGGAATGAATGAGAAAATAATGCATATCTTGTCTTTATCCTGCAGGTCTGTCTCTGCCACATATTTCAGAGGAGCTCCTGGGTCTGGGAAACTTTGGAGTCAGCACTGACCTTTTATCCTGGTTCTATAAACCAGATCACATGCAAGAATGTTGCTTCTTAAAAATTCTCAAAAGTGATGAATAGCTGTAGTCCATGCTAAAGGACAATGGAGAACACCAAGTTGTTAGTGAGAGCTGAATCACTCTGAGTGATGGAGTGAGAAGTTTTATTAGGTTGGTGCAAAAGTAATTTGCGGTTTTTTACATCAATTTTAATGGCAAAAACTGCAATTACCTTTGCACCAACCTATAGTTCACAGAGTCAGGTAGACTAGGAAAAGGCAGGCAGAAAGCAGAGACTGGGGAAGTAGAGAAGAGTTAGTGAAATGATTTAACTTTGGAGACAATGGGGTGAAGGCCCAGGGAAGGTTCCACACTCTTGGGGTGGCCATAGGAAAGTTTTAAAACTCAGAATTTAATTTGACTCAATTTGTTTGCCAATTCAACTCTCAATTTCTAATTTGCAATACACTTTTCTATCTTCACAAATTCTTTACATGGTAGGTTTTTGTGGAAAACAATAAAGGTGATGAACATTCTGTCTGGGTCAATGGTTCTTCATCTTCAAGACTCTTTAAAATCACTTGGGGAACTTTTGAAATCTGCATGCTGATGTCAGACTCCTGAGTGATTACAACAGAATCTCTGCAGGTGGGACCCAGGAATCAGTATAACTTAAAAGATCCCAGGTGAATCCAATATGCAACTTGCTTTGGAATGAGTTATTGTGAAACAATAAACTACAGTGATCAACGTGAACTCATCTGAGAGACTCCTCGGCAATCATGTCTGCTTTGTTCTTTAATCAGTTCTGTTTCACATTATTGGAAACACTTATTTTAATTTTATAAGCCTCCATTTTTCTCAAAACTTCCACCTCCAATTCCATGTATACTCTCAACTAATGACTTCCCTTCTACCTTTCAGAGATAATTGGAGCTCAACAGGAAAAATTTCTTTATTTCCTGTCACCAAATCTGTAAATGCGTTTTTTTCTGAATTACTTTTCATTAGTGCCTTTCTATCAATATTTGACCATCCAAAGTCATCCATCTCTAGAAAGTAACAATACAGAAATATAGGGTGTGTGTTTGTTGGAAATAAAATAATACTAACAAAGACCTCTCTGAACCAACATAGAAAAGAGAACACAGTTTATTACTACATGAACATGGTCAGATTTCTATGCTCGTAGGTACTACAAAAGTGACTAAAACGTCTAGAGAGACTTTCACATAATTTATTTAGCAAAGCAGAAGTGAGAATAACTTCTCATCTCCTCAAGAGACTAAGGGCTACTTCCTAAGATAGTCCTCTTGGGAAAAACTCCCAAGTAAGTTTTGAAGGCATTTGTTTACAATTCCAAGGATCAGAAAGTTCGCATTCTTCCATTGCAAAATCAAAAGGGTAAACTTATTATTTGGACCTATTAAGATTTCAAGGAAATACTCTAAGGAAGAGAGGATGGAAAGATAGTGACCTCCAACCTCAAAAAGGTCATCATTTTACCCTTATGGTATGCTTTGGTTGGCATATGCATATGTATTTCTTAGCTTTGTGAAGTGAGAAAACCTAGAACACCTAGCCTCTAGACCTTTGTATCCAAACACTATTTCTCCATGACAGAAACCCATGCTCTTTGGGGAAATGGTTAATTTTTGGAATAGGGAAAAATGGTTAATTCCTCTGTCTACAGAAGAAGGCTGCCTCACATGGATTGAAGCCACAACTGAGTAAGGGCTTCAGTGCATGTAGGTGACCCACGTGGGGTGTCAGAATCAAAACAAAGTGAGGGAGCATCCAGATAGATGTATTATCCATCACCTGGTGTCTAAACCCAACAGGCTGTTAGTACCTATGTAAGGCAATGGCACAGAATGGGATAAAAAGGATTTGCATGTAGAAGAGGTAGATCATTGTGGGATTTTTGTGGTCTAAATAGAATGAAAGGGGCATCTGTATAAGAGGGCTCCAAGTTGCCAGGTATCAAAGCCAAAGAACAAGAGAAAGAGTCCGTGCAGAAGTGGTGGCAGAATCCAGGCAAGATGAAAAGGACATCATCACAGTGATGTAGCATGTTTGGTGTGTCAGAGCCTAACTGAGCAGGGTCGGGTGAGCACCCACATGGGTTTAGCTGAGGAAGGATGAGAAGAGTATCTATGTGAAATGGATAATAATCTAGGGGTAGGTTGGAGTCCAAGGATGGCATCCAAGAATGAGGGTGGCCAAGTATGAGGTGTTGGAGCCAGAGTAGAGTGAAGAGGGTAACTACACACAGGGGTTAGCTTAATGTAGAGTGCCAGGGTCTTGAATGGGGTCTTGGGAT